CTTGGATGTGGATACAACCACAGTTTTAAGGTTGGCGTGAGCGTGCCTTCCATCCATTTCAACGCAGGCAGCTGCCGAGATGTGGTCGAAATACTTGAGGGTTGTGGGGAGGTGGGCGCGGCTGAAAGCTGATTCAGCCTTATTGCGTGTGTCGTCCTCAACCCACTCGGAGTAGTCACACGCCCTCTCCTAGAAATCTCTCTCGGTGCGGTCCTCTTCGGTCTCGCTAAGGAAAGGTCCGTGGAGAGTGCGCAACAACATCGACATGGTCAATGGTGGTGATTGTGGCGGCGACGAGGAAGGGCAAAAAGAGGGGCGGGGTCGCGGCTGGCTCAGGTGGCAATGAGGGTGAGTGCGACAGCAACGGCGATGGTGGTTTTTTATACCTGCAAATGAGTGTGTGCTTGCGCTCGCAGAAGTTGTTGGCATTCCCCTAGGTGTAAGGGTGAAGTAGAACAATAGCAAGTATTTTCATCAGTTAAAGAACCAGAATTATCAATCCAGTAGGAGCTTCTCCCAGCGAACAAAGTAAGCAGCACCTGCACACAACACACATAACAACTTGTCCCCAACACGGCAAGAGGGTTGTCGAGCCCCTTGTCATGCAAGTCACAAGATTAAACACAATACATAGAGATAATAGGTAGCAAAGTAAAACGAATCAGTAATGGAGAATAGATCCAAGGGCCATATGTTCATTAGTGACATCTCTCACAAACAATCAAGTGACATGGTAAACAAATTACATTGAGCACCAATTAATATTGCAATATTTATGACTATGATCATTCATGGTATAATTTTGTATAGGCATCACGTTCGTGATAAGGACACCGTTAATCTAACTGCATCTATTACTGATACTCTACCCCAAAACCTCTATCCATCATGCATCTCGAGATATTAAGTTTACAAGAAACTGAGCATCGCAATAAGCAAGATGACATAATGTAGACATCAATCAATATGCCGAAACGTCGTCGTTTTATACTTAGAGGCAACAATACAAATACATGTCTTGTCCCTTTCTGTCAGTGAGATACACACTACTAGGAAAAACCTTATACACAGAATCTTAGCAGCAGTGCGGCACAAAAAGAAGCGCTACTGCTAACTAGCAGTAGCGCAGGTACATTACACTTGCTACGGATACAAATTTAGCAGTAGCACATGCGAGCTAAACCGCGCTGCTACAAAAATCGACCGACAGTATCTACCAACCAAAGTTTAGCAGCAGTGCTGTGTCACGACACGCGCTACTGCTAATGCAATAGTAGTAGCATGCTTTTTACTTCGGTCGCTGCTGCTAATTTTAAAATTGGTCATATGGTTGGCCCCGCTTAGCAGTAGCACGTGTGAAAAGCGTGCTGCTGCTACGCTCTTATCAGTAGCGCATTTTGCCTCCCA